CCAGAGAGAGCTTTCTTCAGGGCCGCGAAGTCTGTACCGAGGTGTTCAAATTCGAAGGTTGATTCGAATGATTCACCTACAACACCGATCTCTAGATCTGACCTTAGCCATTGCTTTCGGATCCGCGCATTTAGACCGGCGGCCTCGTGTCTTGGGTTGGTGCCGACGAGAAGTAAGGCGTCAACATCCTCAACAGCAAGGATCTTAGAGTTGAAGAGATAGTTTGACCGGACGTCAATTCCGTGGGCAAGAGGCTGACTTCCCAAGGGCGTGTCAATGGCTAAGTTGTCGGATCCGAGCTTATTGGCCAAGTCCTTCATAGCAACTAAAGACTCAACCTCGGTTAATTCACCAGCAATGACCTTGAACTCATTACCTGCCGGTGCGAGCTGCTGGTAGGCGGCGGCAATCTCAGTCAATGCCTGCTCCCATGGTGCTGGTTCAAATTTGCCTTCTCGTCGTACCAGCGGCATGGTTAACCTCTGGGTCTTTAAGCCGTCGCAAGCGAATCGAGTCTTATCGTTGATCCATTCTTCGTTAACGTCATCGTTTAATCGGGGAATAACTCGCATAACTTCTAAGCCACGCGAGTCAACGCGGATAGCAGATCCCAGACCATCGAGCACATCAATTGACTCGGTCTTCTTTAGTTCCCAGGGACGAGCTCGGAAGGCGTAGGGCTTTGATGTGAGGGCTCCTACGGGACAAAGATCGATGACGTTGCCCGACATTTCGGAGTCTAGGTTCTTTTCTAAATATGTGCCAATTTGGATATCGTTTCCTCGTCCGAACGAACCCATCTCGGGGGCACCGGCTATGTCGTTTGCGAATCGAATACATCTCGTGCAGTGGATACATCGGTTCATCGACGTCTTGATTAAGGGTCCAATATTTTTATCTTCCACTGCTCGCTTGCCACCGATCTCGTGGAATCTGCCCCTGTCGGCTCCATATCGCATAGATTGATCTTGAAGATCGCATTCACCACCCTGATCACAGATAGGGCAATCTAACGGGTGATTTGCTAGGAGGAATTCCATCACTCCCTCTCGGGCTTTATGTGTAAGTGGCGAGTTTGTCTTTACGACCATGCCGGGTTGTACAGGCCATGCGCAAGAGGCGACGGGTTTCGGTGCTCGTTCGACTTCGACTAGACACATACGACAGTTTCCGGCTATCATTAACTTTCTGTCCGACCATGTTAGCAACCGGGATTGTCGAGGGGTGATTTATATGGGATCGATCGTACTCATGATAACAATATCTATGAACTGTTAGCAATGGTTCCTTTGAATATCGTATGACTATAAATGTTTAATAGACTAACCTAGGGACGGTGCTGCCGGCCTTTTCGCAGGCTTGAATTAAAGCTGAGCCAGCTGCGGGCTTAATTAGCAAAGGCGTTCGGGTACATAGCAATATCCGGTAATAGGTCTATACCTTCAATAGACACTTTCTTTCCATCTTCATGAATGTTAGCAACCACATCACAGCGCCTGATTTGCGATTATGGAAGAATGTGCTCACCAATTGTAAGCTCCACCTCCGCCGGCCGTTGGGGTGTCGCAGAAAAAGCTCTGGAGTATCTGGCGGCTTGTCGGCCAGTCCGCCAAGCCGAACGAGCTAGAGATTGTCGAAGCATCGTGTCGTCTCGACGGAATTAGGTGATTACGGAGGAGGAGTAGAGTAGGACTCAGGTTCGGAGGGCGGGGGTGGTCGATTGGGAGGTCCGTTCAAAATGTTGACGTCTTTCTTGTGAGTTGCTTGGTCGGGAATAATTGGATGTTCTCCAAGTGGCGCTAGTGCCATTAATCGCGATTATTTCAGGTCCCCTCTCATTGGTTACAGCTACGGATATTCCGACCCGATTTTTAAGGCAAGTACTGAGGTCACACAAATATACGTATTTCTTAGTAATGGCCTCAACCTGCTCAATTTTCTAACTTAGTGTGACGCTTGGACCAGTAAGGGAGTGGAGCCCCAGCTCTCTGAGATGGCTTAATTTGAAATTTCTGAAAACTGATTCTCCTACTTCTTCTTTCCTTTCATCAACAAATTGTACATGGGCATATATATCGTAGGCGAGCTTGAGCAAGCTTCTAGATTTCCTAGATGTTCGTTATAGTCGAGTCCTCCTCTATCATATGCTCTAGAGCAAAATAATTGACGCCGATATGGAAGCATGTGAGAGCTTTTGAATCTCGAGGATCGCTGCCTCTTACCGCCGGTCGTTACATATAAAATGTTAGACTCACATATACATAGACTCGAGTTTGGATCTGAGAAGATATCTTTTGGTTACTTTAATATTACTTGATGTTGATTTCCTGCTACACTATGCCGTTAGCTTGTTTTGGTCCTGATATTCAAGTTGTCAACGATACTAGATGATAATCATTGACAATAGGTATGGAGCCAAGGCCTGTTGGCTGAACGCCCTGTCCGATTTTGGACCATGAAAAAAGCCATGTGCGAGAAACGGCCATAGCGTCTTTGGATGCCGATTTTTCTTTTTTCTTTTCTTCCTAAGCTCTTCTCAGCATCGCGTCGCGTGATGATCGTCCTCCGCACTGAATATCACTGTATTCCTTCGTTTTGCGATCAATTCTTCGCAGGTTCAGCTCTTCCGCATTCTCACTCCTAGATTGCCCCCGTCGACCTCTCAGGTAGCGGCAATCTTCTTTTGTTAGACCATATGGATGACGAAGATGTTCAATATGGTGGGCACCAGCTTAGCCCCAATTGCCGACGCGTTGACCTATCTCGAGTTACAACGAGGGAATTAGTTTATCATGTCGCCGCTTCCATCGCCGGCCTCCGCGACGACTTTCCCGACAGATTCGAACACCTAGAGCAAGTCGTGCAAGGGGAATCCAATGATTGGAAGGAGATCTTGGAAGACATCGGGAAGAATCTCGAGCTTTTACAACAAACCCTTGACGATTGTCAGGAAGGTCAGGAAGGCGTGGACGGGGTTAAGGCACTCCTCCGTATAGTAGAGGATCACATCACCGATGTACAAACCGAACAGGATCGCCTTGCTCGGGAAATGCTCGAATACGCGAGCGCTACCCATTCCCGAGTTGATGGGATAAAAGATACCATATCAGAAACGGTTGACGCTCAAACGAAAGTTCTACGCGCTGAGATTCAGGCATTACGCAGAACTATCGACCAGGCGCCTCGATTTCCGCAATTCAAGAAACTGCCAGTCGAAATTCGATTTATGATTTGGGATTTGGCACTCCCACGGCGGATGGTTTGCCTCAAAGAATGTTTTGAAGATGATCAGGACGAATTCATCAACGTCCAATACTCGTTTGCGTCGAAATTGCCGCCACCATCGGTGGCTCAAGTCTGCCAGGAGTCTCGGGCTGTGGCATGTCAAAGTGGTAGGCTTGTAGCGATCAGAAATATGAAGCTTTATCCGCAGGGCCGTTTGCTACCGTGCTCAAGGGCACAATGGGGGTGGTTCGATTCAAGTCGAGATAGCCTCTTTCTCCAGCCCTCCTTGAGTCACCTCCATCCCCTCAATTCTATAAAGGACCTTACTAGCCGCGCTCAACACGTCACCATAGATTACGGATCGTCCGGAGACCATCTTTTCAACTACTTTGAGGCCTTATTCAGTCCGAATTACTTCCCAGTGCTAAAGGCCATCGACATTGCGGGGGAAACGTACACCCAACCTCAGCGAAGCGACGCGGTCCTAGAGGCTCGGATATTTGCACGTGATTGCGATTATCCTATTTCCATTGAGAAGCATAATCAATCTGCCAGAAATGCTCTGCTGAGAAAGTTGAAGGCGAACCACTCTTCTGATGATGTCGACAGACTTGAGAGATTCTTGGAGGCTAAAGGAAACACCGATGGCTTGCCACGCGACATTATTCACTACGACGACGAGGCTTGGAACGACCGCCAGAAACATCTGCATGACAGATGGTTTATTGCCCAATATCGATGGGATGTTTTAGGCGGCGAAGACGGTGAAGGTACGGGAAGTAAACTGGTAAGAATTAATGGGCAACAGAAGCCCGGGCTAACCTTCGATTGGCTTGTCATGATGCATCTGAGAATGCCTATTATCCGGCGTGTGGCTTTACTTCGCTTGGATGGTGACACTTGGAAAGTCACTTAGTAAATGGACATTATCTAGCTATATATATTTTTTTCGCTTCTTGCTATCGCCATACTTTTTTGTTTTAGACTTTTGAGGAGTTTGCCACGTTGGGTTTACGTGAGGGAGAATAGGGGTTACGATGTTGGTACCTGAGGGGTAAGATTTACGAATATTTGGGATGTTTTCATGGTACCACGAAAGCTGTGTGATATTATTGAGCTTCTTCGGATTGGAAGCCGATTATCTTTAATTTCGATTCATCTAACATCATGTATACGATTTGATAACTTTCAATTTTAATATTCAAGCTTACATTTGTCTTGTATTTAATACTGTAATTTAATGATACCATACTTACCTAGTATATTTATGTACACAAAGGCGACATCTACTTCAGAACACCCCATTCATAATACCTTTGATGAGCCCGCACCCGGACATATTTTCTTAATATCCAAGTCAATTTGGTTGCCTAGGCATTTTTGTGATGTTGAGCCTTGGAAGTTTGTGAATTAGACCTTACAACTATTCAGAAACGGCTTGCTCAATTCACTTACAAACAAACAAACAAAGGAAAAGCATATCTTCGATCTATCCGACATCTAACATTGCTAGAATAGTACCTAGATAGTTATGATTATTGCTAAGCTCAAACTGTTTCTCATCCAAAGAAGATCTCTCATGTGTTCAAACAGTATGAGTTCGTCCAACCAATCAAGCAAATTCTCGGATTTCCCCAAACATCTGCCCCGTCATTACCCCACATGGTTCCCACCAGTTCACGAATCGTATGACTAGCGGATATAAGCACCATTAAGAGCCCGATCGACATCAAGCAATGTCTGACTCTGATGGGCCACTTGGATGGTCCTTTCACGGTTTGGTGGTCTAGTGGTATGATTCTCGCTTAGGGAAAACCTAAAGCTTATATGCGAGAGGTCCCGGGTTCAATCCCCGGCCAAACCCTTTTGTTTTGCCAGTTCAACTATCTCACTCATATTTATTGATTGATTGATTGATGGTTGAACTTTTTGCTTCTAATTGAGTTGGTTGATTTGGTGCAATCAAACACGCGAGTCAAATACTCGAGAACTGTTTGCTTCAAAGACTTCTAGTTTCATCCCGAAAACTTCTTACAAAGATTGCAAGTGCCTCCTCCATAGTAAATAATATTAGGTAATTCATTTTCCTTTTCTTTAGGCATTGACGTGCTTCTATCTACGCTCACCGAGATTCTAGATTTCCTCGATATCCTAGCCCTACGGACTCGGGACTTTTCAAGGTCATGTATCACACCCAAGCAGGTCAGGCAGTTGCCAAGCCGCTGGACTTTTTTCATGAGCGGTAAGGAGGTACTTCTGCTGCTATGCGAAGGCAATCTTACCCACAGGATTCATTAATAAATTTGCTGTCTCATTTCGGCGCTGACCAATTCGCGCAGCTCGCTGCTGCACAAGTGGACCGCCCAGCCAATACTTACCGGGGCTGCCGGGGTTAGGGGGAGTCCTGAAGTACATGGGATGTTTAATAAGGCAATGACTCTCGTGCATATTCTGCACATTGCAGAATAAAATTTTGCAAATCCTCAAGTCGAGGTAGATCGTTTGCCCTTCAGGTTAAGCTAATCGAATAACTCTATTTATGAAGAATTCGATCGCGATGAGAATGGATATACTGATCTGTATACCTTAGGTAATATATCGAAGTTGAGTGGAAAGCTTCACTGACTTCACTGATCAAACTTACAGCGTCTAGGCAGCTACGTCTGTACCTAGCAGCGAAAATAAAAAGCTTGAAGCCAAGCCTTTTACCGTCTCGTCTAGCTCCTTCGCCCGGGGGAGCTTAGCCGATGTTGCAGTCCCGAGATCCCTGAACAAGTCCTAGGCTAGGCTCTGAACGTCCTAACGCATCACAGTCATGCCGTTGCTGGCCCTATTAGGTCTCTTAGGGGGCTCGTCTTACCTTCCTATAAAATGATCCGTCAGCCCTCGAGATCTCACGATGGCGTTGATCTCTCTAGTTCGTGTGCGCGAGTCAAGACGACGGTATCCAGCTTCTTTTGCTACCGAATTCGCGTTTAGATCGATCTGATCTGATCTCTCCAACTGATTACATTCATTTAAAACATCAAACAACATCATCACCATGCTCACCAAAACCGCCCTCATCGTCGCGGCCCTAGGCGCCACCGCCTCCGCGCAAATGCGATCGCCCGCTCTCCTCGCGCGCGCAACCCGCACCCTCGAGACCGCCTCGGAAGAACTCCCCACGGAATCCACCTCCCCCGAGTGCGAGTCGCGCATCGAGTCCTGGACCGAGAACTTCCCCACGCCGGCCCCCGCTCTCGAGGACGCGCTCGAGAACGCCGACGACTCCGAGTCCGGCCAAGGCGCCGACGGCATCGAAGGTCTCTGCGACTTCGCCGCCGGCCTGCCCTCCACCGCCGCCGCCGCCTTCACGAGCTATAACTTGGACATGTACTCGTACCTGTCGGCCCAGAGCTCCAACCTGCTCGCCCTAGCTACGAGCTGCTCTACTGATATGGGTGCCGAGCCCTCGATTATCACGAGTCAGCTGGACGAGTTGTTGGACGTGTACTCCAGCTTTTCGGCCGGTGCTTGTGCGGATGTTACGGTGACGACGGACTCTGTCACTTCGTCGTCTGCTACTAAGACCGCTAGCAAGTTCGGTATTACCAGCCTTGCTACCAGCACCAGCACCGGCTCTGCGGCTGCTACTGCGTCTTCGGCCAGCGGATCGTCCTCATCTGGCTCTGCTGCCTCATCGGGAAGCAGCGCCAACGCTTCGTCGTCGCCAACATCTGTGTCGCAGAACGCTGGACCCAGGGAGACTGGCATGCTCGCCGCTGCCGCCATCGCTATGGGTGTTCTCGGCGCTGCTGTTGCGTTGTAGGAAGACTATTAAAATAAATAAATCGCGATATAATAAGATAATAAGTAGAATGCCAAAGAATATTGTGTTGCGCTTCGGCCACGTTTCTGTGATATGCTGTTTTCCCGGTTCCGTTTCGCTTGCAATGCTATTTTCATATGTGACTTGTGAGTATACTAGTTTATGACAATTTATTCTACAGTTACGTCTTTCGAGTTAGTCATTATGTTCCATTCCTAGTACCGGCTCTCTTTCCCGAAGAAATTGAAACATATCATTAATCAACATGATATCTCGGAATGATTAGGAGCTCATGTGGGAATGCTACGCTGCAATGCTGGAGCTTACGAGGTATCCCGACTGCCCCGCCATGTAGATCGGCCATAAACGCAGACGACATTCGCATTATCTAAGGGTAAAAAGTTAGATAGTTACGGAAGTCTACAAGAATTAAGTGGAGGAAATGATATTTAAAGAAGTAGGCCTTATTAGAGATAATACACGCATTTGGTGGTCCATTCCAAAAAGAGTATAGTTTACGAGATGACACAGCCTAGAACATTGCCTTCCCAGTCCCAGGTAGATGACGCGTTTTCACTTGGACTCCTACAACAGTGGTTGTGATAAGTAGGGGAAAGTAGGATACTGCCCCTTTTGTCGACGACATAGTACACAAGGTAGCGTCTTAGTTGGCATGTCAATGTAAAATAGAAACACAATCCCGCCGCTACTTTCAATTAAAATACTAGATAAGCTTAAAGGAGAGTTGAATATCTGCTTGGTGGCTGAATCGTATACGACACAAGATGTTGCAATTCTCCAACTAGATGTTGCAATGCATCTTTATTGTTGCTGTTAGATTCTGGGGTATTGCTGACCGTCCACTTGGAGGTGAAGGAATATGACCGGTGAGGATCTAGATTATCTGACGTAGCATACGCAGCATACGTAAACTTATCCAATTACAGCCCTCTCGGGTCAAGGTACTTGCTTTTGTAATGAGTTGAACTCATGCCCCTTTACTCCCACTTCAAGGTAGAGTACATCGTATATTCCTTCCATCGTTTCGTTGCATACTGCAGTAATTACAACCGAGAGTTGAGGAGTTGACATCTCGATGAACACAACGTTATCAACGCTATAAGCCATGTTGTGACGTCAACGCTTATGGGCGAATTACCACAGCCACGATAGCTACCAGCAATAATTAGTAGCAATATTGATTGGGTAATGAGTACGATGTGAGCTCGTTTCCCATCAATGTCCCATGCATGAACTATCTCCGCTGTAGTGTGATCTGCAAGAAAGCTTTCAGCTAGTTTACCATACACTCCTACCCAAGCTCCTACCGTAGGAGATATATAAAGGGAGATAAAGATCTCACTTTCTCCAAAGCCAAGACTCGATGTATTCCATCCTATTATAGGTCTTCCCCTTTAGCCCTACGCTACGAACATGGGTCTTCTTAGGTGCCTGTCGCTTGCCTTCGTTGGCACAACACTATGCCTCGCCCAAAGCAACGGAACGAAGCCAAATATCGTCCTTATCTTCACAGATGATCAGGATCTTCGCCTTGGGTCTGTGGAGCATATGCCTATCCTCCAGAAGGAACTCGTCCAGAAGGGCACACAGTTCACCAACCACTATGCAACTGTTGCTCTATGTTGTCCTAGCCGCGCTTCTCTTTTAAGGGGCCAGGCAGCGCACAATACAAACGTGACGAACGTCGTTTCGCCCGGAGGAAACTATCAAAAGTTCATGGTAGCAGAGGAGAATGAAGATTATCTTCCTCACTGGCTTGTGTCAGCTGGCTATAATGCGGAATGTAAGTACTGGAGACTTGTATATGTAGTCAACAATATGAGCTAACATTAGTAGACTTGGGTAAATTCATGAATGGATATACCAGAGCAAACTACAATGATACTCCGAAGGGATGGACACATACTGACCTTCTTGTATGTTATATGATACTTAAGGGATTTACACACCTTAGCTGATGAAACTGAATCTGACAGGTCGACCCTTTTACCTACGAATACAACAACGTTGTGATGTCCGAGAATGGGCAAACCCCTATCCATTATAAAGGGTTTCATCAGCTTGATGTGATGCGACTTAAGGCGTGAGTATCACTGTGTATATCTTGCAGCGATATAATGGGCTGACAGTAACTAGACTCGATCGGATTGACCAACTGTCCGCAGAAAACAAGCCCTTTTATCTTACGATAGCTCCTTCAACGCCTCATATTGAGGGTGGGGATATACTTCCCACACCTCAGACGAGATATAAAGGGAGTGCTGAAGGTCTACAGGCCTCGAGAGGCGGCAATTGGAATGCGAGCGACGAGAGCCAGGCCCAAAAACCATCGTGGTTGAAAGAACTCGCGTACCTAAACTCGGCAACGGCCGCCGGGATTGATGCCCACTATAGAGCTCGAATTGCTGTTCTTCAGGGGGTTGATGAGATAATCCAGGATGTGGTTAATCGCCTCGATCAACATGGTATCCTGGACAACACGTACATCATTTACACGAGCGACAACGGATACCACCTTGGAAACCACCGAGTCGCTGCCGGAAAATCGCTCCCATATCGTGAGGACACGAATATGCCGCTTATCGTCCGTGGACCGCAGGTAAAGGCAAATGCGACATCTGATGCTCCGAGTGTCCATTACGACTTTCCTCCAACGTTCCTAGAAATCGCCGGCGTCAAGTCCGCAGATCTTCCGCCTTTCCTTGATGGCCAGAGTCGCCTTAGCAATTGGCATAACCCGCAGACCGCGTTGCCTACCTGTCCTGTTAATGGCACACAAGAGGTCATCAACGTTGAATTCTGGGGTGGTGCCGGTATCGAGTCGCTATTGCAAGAAAGACCTTACAATATCGGGAACAACAGCTACAAGACGTTGCGAATCGCAGGAGAGCAACAGGGGTATCTGTACTCGAAGTGGTGCACCAACGAGGAAGAGCTCTACGATACGACAGCGGATCCGTATGAGCTACAAAATCTGGCGAAGGATCCTAAAGACGAAAACACAAAACAGCTTTTGAACCGTCTTAACGCTC